AACTGGACTCAAAGAAAATAAGAACTTTTTGAAAAGCTTATAAAGATAAGAATAAGTCTTAAAAATTCAAAATACACTTTAAGAAAACCTCCAAAGAAAATCCTAAAGTAAAATCTTGAAGAAAAATTGTAAAGAGCAGCTCACTTTTTCTTTATTCAAAAATGCATTACATCTTTATACTAATTCTTTTTAGAGTAAAAAAAAGGCTTTTTAAAAATTTTAAAAAGAAAAGAATTTTTTCTTAAAAGCTTTTAAAAAATAATAAATAAATTTTGAGAAAATCCTTGAAGAAAAATCCTAAAGAAAAATCACAAAGAAAAATCTTGAAGAAAGACTAGTCCTCTCTTTATTCAAAAATGCACTACATCTTTAAACTAATTACTTTTGGAGCAAGAAGGATCATGATAGAAAGATGAAAAAGAAAAGAATAATTGTCTAAAATATCAAACTCAAATTAAAAACATACTTTGAGAAAATCTCCGAAAAAAAACCTTGAAGAATGGTTGGCTCTTTTTTATTCAAAAAGGCATCCCTTATATATATTAACTCTTCTCAAAAGAAAAGAGAGATTTCTTAAAAGCTTATAAAGAAAGAAACAAGTCTTTCAAATTTCAAACTCAAATTCAAAATACACTCTAAGAAAAATCTCTAAAGAAAAAACTTGAAGAGTGGTTAGTTCTTTTTTTATCCAAAAAGGCACCACTTATTCATACTAACTTTTCTTGAAACAAATGAGAGCTTTTTAGAAAGCTTATAAAGAAAAGAATCTCTTTAAAATCTCAAATCTAAATTTTTATAATATTTTATATTATTTTTATATATTATACTACTTCTTAATACAACAATATTACATCCATTTAACCACATTTCAAAAAATTATTGTACAAAGATTCTAAATGGTCTTCATAATCTAAACCTTTTAAAACCGATTTATATTTGCTCCATATTTCTTATGTTTTTCAACTTTACCATTGATGTGCTTTATTTTTTTTATTACTCAAACCATTAACGATATAATTATTTTTATACCTTCTAATTTTTCTTCTTTCTTTATTTGTCTTATAGTAGATACTTAAGAAAGAATGGCAAATCTATCTACTAAGCATATTTCAAAGTTCTATATCTATAAGATATTGATCTAAGAGAAGTTGTGCTTTAATATAACTTAGACTAAGAAAGCAAATCTATTGAAATATTATAATCACCTTTGGAATGAAGTCAATTTCCAATAGTATAAAAAATTTATCCAATCTATGACTCTCAATAAAAAATATTCCATAGGAATTATCAAGAAAATTGAAGTGAAATATTTATCTTAATATTTAATTTTTTTTTTGGTTGGAATTTTGAAGATGTTGTTATGTGAGACAAAACCACTTATAAGCATTTCTGCTAAGATATCAAATACTTTAAGAAAGAATTGAATTGGAAAAACTATAGATATGACATCTATAAGCTTGGACAATAGTATGCAAAGCCTACATTTATTTAACTTTGCAATATATTGAACACTATTTTTTTTACAAAAATTATAATTTTTTTTAAAATCAAGTATATATATATATATATATATATATATTTAATAGCATGCAATAGTGAATATATTAGAGCATGATTATAAATGAATACCTCCACATTAAATTGTTCCATCTTAAATTGAGTCCATTCTTCACTTCATATATCCATTGCTATCTAGTCCATTATTATAAACACAATGCACCCCCTCAACTAGGATCCATACTTAATATATAAGAAGAAATATGCCAACACTACAATCAATGCTAACAAGTTGCAAAAGCATCAAAGTAGTACAAAGAAACATATTAGATTTACAAACTATATAAGTATAAGGTAGAAACATTGGATCAATACAATGCAAAAAAACCAAAGAGAATCTAAGTATTAGTGATCTCCAATAAGCAATCATTAAAAATATTTTATCTTTTTTAAGAGATTATTGAAGAATTCTTAACAAAATTATCTTAAACAATAGTTGACTTCCTTTCTTTTGTTGAAGATAACAAAGACCATGCATCACGGCTTGTTACAATGAACAATGCTATAGAATAATATATACATGGCATAGTAGATTGTGCCTCAAAATTCTCCATGTTATGTGAGACAATTGAACAATAATAGTACATCATTGATTACTATAAGAATACCATTTGAGAATTTTAATTTACTTTAATATAGATGAGATACAAGCTCAAAGAAGCTGAAAGCACAATTGCAACTCTTGAGACTACTTAAACACATACCAAACATAAGCTCAAAGTCACCCAAGGTATAATTACAATTCATGAAGCTATCTTCTACATTACATACCAACAAGTTGTGAAATTGGAAATAGCCAACAAAATGACTAGACAATGCCATGGCAAACTTTTTGCCACAGATGACTAGTTATGTGAAGAGGTATATGAAGTTGAAAAACAAGGAAGGATGGTAGCTAAGGAATTGGAGCAAAAAGCTCAACAAATGGAATAAGAATGCCTTGCCACAAAAGCAGCCTAACAAAATTTAAAACCAATGATACCAAGTGGATTTAGGAGGTGGTATAGATTATTGCTTTTAATGCAATACAATTGGAAAAACAAAGCCATAATCATTAACATGCCAAAAAAGAAGTGTTCATATATCAATATATCACAGATGTGGTAAATATGTTGAGATTATTAAATGAAGAGGAAAAATTGAAACCAAATGAAATTAAGATGGGAAAAAAAAGTAGTTAGTCTATTAAGATAGTACTTGAAGTACTCTCTTTTTCTTAAAAAAACGCAAGAACTTAAAAGATACATTTCTTGGCCTATATAATCTTTGCCAAATACCACAAGAAGAAAAGATAATAATATAGTAAGAAGATAAGATAGAAATACAATTGATCGTAACACTATTACAAAGTTAAGATAAAAGAAGTAATTAAGAAGTATTTTAAGCATTATAATAACTAATAAAGGCACACTTTTAGCTCTTTCTCTCTCACTTCTTCAAAAATTGGATGATTAGCTATGAATGAAAATAATAAGATTGTTTGTTGCATTCTTGGAAGTTATGGCTAGACAAAATATTATAATATTTTGTACTCAAATGAATAAAAGAGAACCATAGATTTATTGTCTTTAAATTACTTATAAACTCAATAGTGTAGTGAAGAAATATTCTACCACAGAAAGCATTTGCATCTTAGATATATCATTATATTGTAGTTATTGTTCCTTAGTACACCAGTGATTAATAGAATCTCAAATTAATAAATATAAAATTATTTTTTTTACAATTTTTTTGAATCCTAAATTGATTTATCTATTGGTATAAGTTCCAATCTACTTATCAACCATTTTTATTCTTAGATTTGCTAAAAATCATAAATTGTTACAATTAAAAAAACCAAAACAAATCAAAACAAAACAAATTTTTATTGGAATCACTATGATAAAAATATCTTTTGTAATTTGGATGAAAAAATGAGATTCTTTGCTCACACGAAACCAATAGATTTCAGAAGACATCCTCTTATAAAATTTTGGAAATGAAAAAGTATTATTCATCATTTGAAATTAACTAAACAACCTTGTTTCAAGTATAATGAAAAATTAGTTGAACTTTGCTTCATACGGCAATCCATGGAACAATTGTTATGGAAACAGCTTTATTCAATAAAAAAAATTAAAATTAAAATCAAAAATCAAAAATCAAAAATTAAAAAAAAAATGGAACAGGTAAACAAAAACAAAAAAACAAAAAAAAACCAACAAAATACTCTGGTACTCAACAAACTGACCGGTGCATCAAGATAAAACAAACAGCAACAACACTCCACTGCAAAGTAGACAATAAAAGATAAAAGAAAATGAAATAAAAAAAAAAAAAAAAAAAAAAAAGGCAAGTTTCATGAATTCTCACCTTTGTCTCTGTTCACAGGCTTTTCCATCAATCTTGTCAGGAGTAAAACGCCTCCTCACTTTTCTTCTTTGTCGCAATAAACAAAGCAGCAGGCACCGAATCTTTGCGGTGTTTCGAATGTACCCAAGTCGCGAGAGAGAGAGAGGGGGGGGGGGGGGGGGAAAATCCGAAGAATGTGGGTCTGGAAAAACAAAAAAAAAGAAGTTTTAGGCCCCCATGCCCATGCTCATGGTGGGTGTGCAGCCCCAGTTCTAAAATGGTACCTTTACGCTTGGGAACCGGGGGGGGGGGGGAAGGTGTCAGACAGCACCACTGGAAAGCAGGGAACAAGTCAAAGTGGGTGACGGTCATGCTCCCCAAAATAAGAGCGCCGCTGCTTCCCGGATCGGCAGCATAGTATGTCAAAGCTTTCCAATTCCCCTTCTCTGGCACTACTAGCGTGGGATTTTGTGGACGTGAGCTGTTCCTTCACTTGCGCTACGAGGAACTCTTTCGTCGTTATTGTAAACCGATATGTGGTTTGAGATTCAGGTGGGATTATATATGCCTCCATTTGTTACTGCACGTAATTGTTTATTTCTATTTTGTGTTGGACAAGGAGACTGTTGCTCAGCTTTCTCGTTTGGTGTGGACTTCAGTTGTTGATGGTATATCTGGACAGTGGGAGTTGTCTACCTGCTGCACACACACATATTTGCATTGTCTGCTAGACAGTGTACTGCGCTATGTGAGGTAAGGAAATGGTTGTGAAATTGATGAGGTGATTAGTATCGGACTGAACTGGGATTTTACCCAGTGAAGAATTCATGTGTGTGCGTGTGATACTGATTGGGTGTTGTCAGGGATGCAACAGTCATGGACGGATGATGACTTGGTGCTATGGCAACACATTGACACTCGTTGCAGTACTTCTCACACGGATGTAAGGGAGATGAGAATGTTCAAAATCAATTGGGATATTGGTCTTTATTTCGTAACACAGTCAAAGATTATTTGCTCAGCCTCTACACTACACAAACGGTATCAATTCAACCGAAGCTGTTCAGGGGGGGGGGAGGGGGGGGATTTAAAAAGGTCGACCACAATCGAACTCAGCTCAAGTGTTGGTATATACAGCCGCCATTTGAAATATTACAATGGAGAACTGTGGGGCCGAACTTGCAGGATTCCTGCTTATTTTGATGCGAGGCCACTTAAGAAGAAAGTAAAGCTATTTCAGAGTAGATAGCCGAAGTACAAGGCTGTGGACCCTCTAATTAACCTACACTCAATAACTATGACCTCAACGTGCTTCGCTTAAAAGGTTTAATGTACAACCGATAATCGTGATTGGCTCAGGAGGCATTATATACCACAATATCAGAGTCGTTTATAATTCTGCCGGCTAATTCTCAAAGACTTTGCATCATCGCTAACTATGTGATGGCACTAAGTGGTTAATCTGAACCTTGAAGCGCGGACTTCAATGCACCAACAATCCCACTGGTCGGCGTCTTCGTTTCTTGCGGCTGCAAATCACAAAGGAAGCATATGCTCAGCACAATGAAACTTTTGAGTTGTGGTATCAACACACGATACGTTTCAGCGCGCTCGATTTCAATGAAAAGTTGGCTCAATTGAGTTCAGATATGAGGAAAGTATACCTGGGCTGTGACGACGCAAATGAGCCGATGTGCAATCTTCGTGATGCTGCATTGCATAACATCCAGGTTTAGGCTCTCCAGGCACTGCAGAATGTTGCTCTGAAGGCGGGGTTGAGGATGGAATACCATCTCGATGACCACCTGGTTCGGCAAGTCAGCGTGAACCTCCATTTTCTCTAAACTGCTTCTCAGAAGAGTATGAATTCGGCTCAGTTCCTGCGGCGAGATGGGTAGCCTTTGAACTGCTGCCTTCTTCTCATTCACATTATCAGGACTAGTAGGCTGCAAGCCCCCGAAGGACTTTCTCCGACGAGAGGCGACCACTTTCTGGAGACAGGTGGCGGATTGATTCAACTCCACTTTTCTGTTCTGGAGTTCCTTGATTCGATGATGCAGATTGTTCACGTATTGGATTGAGTCATCGACTATGGCAGACCTGTCGCGCTGAAACATTATCAAAACAATGGACATACGACGTTAGTGCGCATTCACAAATGACTTCCTAAGGTAAGTTCACGTAACAAACGTGCCCGACACGCCACGGACAGCTCAACGTAACCTAGTGCAACTATCCCATGCAACACGGATACCGTCATCAAGTATGGACTAAAAGTTCTTGACACCCAGGTTCAACGAGGACTACTATCAAAATGAACAGATGGACTGCTCGCAGTCAGGGGTGAGCTGTACTTACTTTAGTGCCCGTCGGAAGAAGAGACTCTAGAACTGCGAATTTGCTGGTCATATCGTCTCTCCTTTGACGTTCTCGCAGAATATGCTCACTTTGCTCGTTCGGTCGCTTACACTTAGAAGCGACAGTCCTGTCGCTCTTGGCCAACCTCTTCCGGCCCTGAGTGCTGATTTGATCGTCAGAACTACGCTCGTGCTTCAGTACCCGTGTGGATGTCGGCGCCTCATCTATATTCCACCGCTCTCCCATGACTTGAGGTTGCGACGACGCAGAAAGTGAACCCACTACATGCGAAGAGCAAAATTCCAGGCTTGAAATTGGTGCATGTGGGACAGTGGAGACGGGTGCGTAGTTATGGGGATTCTTATGATCATCCACTGGCGGCAAGCTATCGAAGAAAATGTCTCGATCGATGTCTGACTGATATATTCCCACTGATGGCAGCCCGACGTACGAGCTGCTCTCGCCCACCAGGCTCTCTAAACTCCCACATTGGTTTTGACCAAATCCTTGATGCATCATATATGAAGTGCTAATGAAGTCGTTCAGCTGCTGCTGCAGCTCCACATTATCCCCCGCTGGTTCAAGCGACGCCGCACCCAAGCCAACCCCCAATTTGTCCCGGCTATGCGAGTCGAACCCAAACCCTCCCCAATTCAACCCCGTATTCTCCAGCGTTATCATCTTCACACGGATGGACAACCACGGCTCGGATAGCCACAGCACACACCAGAAAATGAAATTCCAGCACTCGGGGCCTTAATTAACTCCCTCTCCTGCTCCCTCCCCCTGCAGGGCGCACCTCAACCTCCACTGCTACAACTCTGCGTCAGAACAGATGAGTGAACAGCCCTACCGCAAGCAAAACTCTACTTGCTACGCGATGATCACCAAACACATGCCTCTCCTAATTCCTAGACTTCAAGCACGCACTAGCACCCTCCCTCCGAAGACCGCACCAGCTTCACACAGGTATCTACACTGATCCGCGAAGAAATTCCATGCCGCAAACTCCTGTTCGAGAAACAGTGCACTGCGAAAACAACAAACAGTCGCTAGAGAGATGCTGCAGCTAGCATCAGCCCAATTTAGGACTCCAAACTCCCAGGCTGCTCGCTCCGCCTCAGGTTATCGAGCCCCGGGTCGAAGCTGAGCGAAACTGAATGTTTCTCACCGCCAGTGACCACTGTGTTACCACAAGTAGCTGCTAATCCCTGGCTGCTAGTGTAGTAATGTTGACCTTCCAGCCTCGGTTGCGCTGATCTATCGCACAGGGCTCTCAAGGGGTCCCAGTTCAGGTTCAGCAAAGTGCACGAGTTCTGCCCCTGGCGCCGAAGCCGGAGTATTATATGCCTGGTGGGATGAAGTGAAAAGCTCGGTGTCTGACGAGGGTCTTTATGCTGAACGCGCGATGTGTTGCTCGCACCCTGCCAACAAATCCGTGTGATGGCCATGATGTGATTATTGATGTATTTGCTCTGCAACCAGGGTTCTGTGACGATTTGCCCTCGCCTGTCTGCTGTTAAAAACAAATAAATAAAAATAATCATATAATAAATAAAATAAAATAAAAATGCACCGTTGCTTCGAGGGGGCGTTTGCAGCATGGCAAAGGGCGTTTGCAGGAGCAGCATCGGCATGGGCCAGCCATTCCTCTGCACCCCCATGTCTCCCATAAATCAAAACCAGGTTTTGTTCAATTGGGTTCATTCTTGCTTACTTTGTTGGTGGTATTCTCTGTGGAATCTTGTTTCCTCACCCGTTGTGATCATCACTCAATTCGCTTAGTCCACCCGCTTTGGCTAATCTCCTCTCACTAATGTGGTAAGTTACTGTGGCTGTGGGGCAAGTTTAACTCTGTTGAAGAAGAAGAAGAAAAAAAATAGACAAAACGGGGTCTTAGAATACAACCATTGCAGAAGTTCTTTAGTAAGGCAATTTTGTTTAGCTACGAACTTAGCGGGAAAACTTAACTTTAATGGGAACAGAGACACTCTAAATGCAGTTTTGTTGTGCCATTTAGATCTGTGTGGAAAACCCTTAAACACATTCTCTGCAAAATTGGTTTATTTTATTTCATTTTATTTTTCTTGTCCCACAAACCATGTGATTTAATAATTTTTCACTTCTGGTATTTTAAAATTAAAAAATCCTAATTTATTTTTAGCTCTAATTTTAAAACATTTCAAGTAGCTTTCAATTCTCTCTTTTACACACACACACACATAAATATATATATATATATATATGCGTGTGTGTGTGTGCAATTCTTCACTTTGATCGATTTGTGTCATTTGTGAGTGATGCTTGTGGAGGGGTCATAATTAAATCTTTTCTATCACTAAGTGATGAAGAGAGTTGGAACTATCAACTTTGCATCAAAGTTGAAATCAATGTTTCTACTTTGTTTGTTGGAAAATTTATATTGAAACGTGCGAAATATAAGAAATGATTGATGCTTTACTTTACGCAACATGATAACACCAACCCAATTGTACCACTATCTTGGATTTCTACTCCTTGAAAAGAATTAGAGTGTAGACAAGAGCTCACACTGGGATGAATAGCTTCTTTTTTGTCCTGTTCTTTGATTTTTTACTAGGGTATAAAACAATTTCATGCATATCCCTTGTAAACAATCCCTTTTTACCTTTTGCATGATGACCAGAATGTATAATTCATGTTCTGCTGTTCATAATATGTGATAGAGTACAAGGGGGAAAAGGAGGAAATTAATTACAGAATGATAGATAACAACTGAAAAAAATTATTAAGAGGAAGAAAAACTTGGCATGGCCATTTTTAAGATTTTCTTTTTCTCTTTTTTTTAGTTAAAAGTTGTATTTGAATTCAGCCAAAGAAACTAATCACAATATCCTACATTCTAGTCTAAGCTCCAAGTTACTTTTTCAGGCACATCAATTCACATGTGGCCCCAAGTCCTATATCAGGGAAAAAAAAAAAAAAAAAAAAAAAAAAATCATTACACCTGTATAAAAAAAGAAGGGGAGGATTTCATGTGAGAAACAAATAAAGCAAAAACAAAACAAAAACAAAAAAAAATTATAAAGGGAGCGTAAACAAGTCTTCTCACTGGTCAAATTTTTCATATTATTTTTTTCATATGTAGTATTGACATTTGTTCCCAATAGATGTTTCTAGAGCCAAGGAGTACTAAGAGATATTTATAAGAACTGCCCTTAAAGCAAAATAAGACAAACCAAAAACAAAAACAGGTTCAACAATACATGGAGAACATTTGTGAAACGACCAAAATCATTCACCGAAATTCACATGAAATATACTAAAAATCAGCAAATTTATCATTTAGAATTCACACAAAGTGTCGTTGCTCTTCACAATGACAGGAGCTTTCTCAAGCTCAAAACTGAGTTTATGCTTCGAAGTTGTGAACAGTGGATGTTGGTTTTGTTTTGTTCTGCTTTGATTTGTTTTTGTTTTTATTTATTTATTTGTGTTTGTTCTTTTCAATAAGAGAACCTGGTTTTAATGCAAGTTTTGAGAAGCATTTTGACAACAGAATGTTGCAATGCAACAGTGGACGAGGCGCATTCTCCTCCTCCTCCCCCTCCTGCTGCTGCTGCTAATTTACTCCTGAGCTCCACACTCGGACTGCTTCAGCCACAACTGAGAACCATCCACAGACACTCGCGGGTAACCGGAGATTGAGGTTGAGGTTGTGAAGCTCAGGCACAGCAAAGGGAACAAACAAACCAGCTGCACCAAGTCACAGGAGCCACGCCATCGATGCCTTTAACCCACTATCTTCTCCTTCGGTGGGGTCCTCATTCTGGCGAGGACGTTACAACCTGGTTTGTGTTTTCCTGTCTCGAAGCTTTGATCCCCGAATGCATCGATTTATGGATGGGTGGGTGGGTTGGCGCAGCGTGGACACACAACCACAGTTGCCCCTCGAATGCCGAAGAAGCTAAGTGTTTGTTGGTCATTAGAGTCCCTGGAAAGGGCAGCACATCAAGGATTTTCTGAGCACGCATCGTCCTGGCTAGGGCCCTGGTCGCTCCATTGTCGCCCTCCTCCCCAGCCATCGGGCCCCTTTTACCCCACCTTTGCAAAATTCTGCTTTATTGCGCACTCTGCGCATGCAACACACTTAACATTTTGCATCAAATGGTTCACACGGAGCTCTATTTCCGATTGTTTCTTTCCGCATACCCCCCCCCCCCCCCCCCCATACCTTCATTCGGATTCCGGGCCATTGCGCAGGCAGCAATTATAGACTTTTGATCTGAGCTTCCCAACCCTTGGGAAAAAACCCCCATGACTGATCCTGTGCCTCATCACTCCAGAAGGTTGCAATCTGCCTTGCGGGCACGAAACCAGGACTCGATCCCCTGGGAAACTCGGGTGACTGTGTTCCATCGGTTGCGTTGTTGACGTTGCATGGTAATTCTCACCATTGTTCAGGACATCGTTGTATGTTGGGCTACAGATAGGAACGTGATATCACCAACACGAGCTCGAGCTCTAGGGGAGTGAGCCATTTCTACATATTGTTCCTATGTTATATTTCAGTGTGCAGATATAACATTATATGGCTGAAATTTACTAAAACATACAAAAAGCAAGTTTCATACATCTTGGCACTTGTCTATCAATAAATACTTCAGGAGTTTTAATTGATTTGTTAAAAAAAAAAAAAAAAAAAAAAAAAAAAAGTTACTGGTCGTAAGCACAAAACAAAAAACATCGTGTTTTTATTGCAGTTGGTAGAAGTGACGACGAGGGAACAGACGTATCAGAAACAAAATCTGCCCCCCCCCCCCAATTGATAAATTGACGTGTGTAATATTGATAGAGAAATAAAGTCAAAAAAGGTGGAAGAGGTAAACTAGAAAATTCTACCCAATTTAGACACATCAGAAATCAGCAAGTATATTTTGTGAAAAGAATTAATCTATGGCGAATAACTTGTTGCATAAAGCGTGATCGCATTACCTGAAATAAGATAGGACGCAAGAGCTCTTTGTGTCTGGCGTTCTTTCCACTTTAATCAATTAAGAAAACGAGACTATTTGTTAAAAAGAAAGGCACAGTGCGGAGATCGTCAATTTCGGAGCACATGTCGAAATTCAACGGGGCCCATATCGAAAGCTGCGAGCGATACTGGTGATGATAGAGCTCAGACTTTTTCGGTGCCGCATCACTCGGACGAGAGCCCTGATCATGTCACCCAACTAATTCGCCATTTACCTCAAACGGAAATCGAATATGCAGACCGATTCTAGTTATTGAACACCGCAAGGCACTCGAGAAGAGACAATGAGGTCGCATTTCGACCCCCCGCCCAAACAATCCACATTGACCGGAAGAGCCTTGACATGTTCCCCGTCAGATATTTCTCTGTGTCGTATACTTGTGGCATTTCGCTGCTGCTAATGAGGAATGGGTTTGGTGTTCTAGACATCTAAAACTAACTGACGACCCAGATTCGAGGTCGGGAACTCGGAATGCACCGACTTGGGTGACGTCGATCAAATCTCGCAATCTGGACCGGCCAGACAGCAGCCCCTACCCCCACCCCCTACCCCCACCCCCTACTACCGGAGGAACTGGAGCGTAGGTTGACCGACACGGCCATAGGATGGGTTTGTGTAGGTGGGATGAAAAGCAAGCGGGTGCTAGGTGGCGGGATGGATGGCGCAATGAGAAGACGTCTATATTCTTCACGAATTGATGATTTATTTTGGCCTCATTCGAGGCTTTCTCTCGATTGCGCACTCGCCTTTCGCATGTGTGATGAGTAGCAGCAATGTAAGTCCTTATTTTAAGAAGGCTTTTTGGGTGCCTG